TCGGGCATCCGTGCAGAAAGTGTCATTGATTCTTGGCTCGGGCATCCGTGCAGAAAGTGTCATTGTTTCTTGGCTCGGGCATCCGTGCAGAAAGTGTCATTGTTTCTTGGCTCGGGCATCCGTGCAGAAAGTGTCATTGATTCTTGGCTCGGGCATCCGTGCAGAAAGTGTCATTGATTCTTGGCTCGGGCATCCGTGCAGAAAGTGTCATTGATTCTTGGCTCGGGCATCCGTTAGCTTTGTGTTGCGCAGGAAGTCCGGAGTCGTCATGCCCATTACGACATTTGGACCAGAAGTCAAAGCGGGGAAGAGCGCATCTTACTGGGAACGGTCTTTGCGGCATTTGGTGTCAACATTACTCATCTTCGACGAGAGGAGAGGAGCTGACCGCATCATCACTGCCTACCTCAACAAGCCCAACCTCGCCTGGCTCCAACTTTACGCATACATTTGCGCGAAGACAGAATGTCTCCATTCTGCCAAGCTACCCGGAGCAACCGCGTTGAAGGCTCTCATTGACGGTCATGACAATCCCGACACGGCCAATGCTGGAATCTCGAAGATCATCAAGAGGTACAAAGCTGATGAGGGTACTGAACTCACATGCCAGCAATTGTGCAATGTCGCGACATCGACCAAGTCCTACGTTACGTGATCCTTGATTGGCCATTGAGGCAGAAAACTGGGAAGCGCATCAGGACGTTCCAATCCCACATGCGTGACAATGGGTGGAACAATGTCATCGAGATGTCCTACTACGCATCCGACGATGTGAGACGTGGTACAAACACCCCACTTGTTGCTCGTATCAGAGGACTGATCAACACGATCAAGGGTGGCGTCAGAGACTGAGCATTCCGCGGAATGGTTCTGGTTCAAGGACCGAACTCCCATTGACATGGGCAAGCCGCAGACAAATCGCATCGTCACGATCCACAACTGAAGCCGAAATGATCTCTTTGGACGCCAGCATATTCGGTGAAGCGTTGCCTGTTCAAGAGTTTTGCAAAATACTTGCTAAGAAGCCGGTTGACTTGATCTGCCACCAAGACAATTCAGAGGTCATAGCAGTCGCCCACTCAGGGTATTCTCCGAAGCTCAGGCACTTGTCAAAACTCACAAGATAGACTTAGGTTCCTTGTATGAAGTGTTGCAAGATGAACACGTCCAGTTGAGGTACATAGCCACTGATGAGCAACTAGCTGATATCTTCACTAACGCCCTTGCGCCAGCGAAATGGCCGACTACCTTGAACTTGCTGCATATGCAATAACTTGCACGCAGGAAGGGGGAGTTGAAGAATACTGATGTTTTCGCACGGTTGACAGGGTGCGATGCCAATGATGCACCATCACTTCCAAGACATGTCTGGTCAGTAACCTTCATGTGGCATGCTTAGCGGAGAAGGGGCTCCTTGAGTGTAGTTTGCTAGGAGGAATCGTCATGCGTAGGGTAGACGTTGTCTGTCCACCGTTTCACATATTCAGGAACCCATGGTTAAGCAAAGCTTCCATTCATTCCTTTTGCAGTTTGCAGTGTCATGTGTTTCAGTTCTCCAAAGGTACCAATCCTCCAAACGCTTCCGCGTTTTTGGCTCAAGCTGCCCGAGGGTTAAAAGGAGTGCGTCCGCCATTTACTTGACGACGTGCAGTATTCTTTATCTTTTGGTGGCGACATTACTTGGATCAGGCTTGAGATTGCTGGAAATCAAACACAGCGAGCTGTTCTTATCTTGATTCAACTGGGTATTTTGGGGCCTAGGCTCGCGCCCGAATCTCAGAATAATGAGGGAGCCCGGGGTCCAGCAATCCTCCTAATTCTGCTAGTTCTTTCTGCTTGTTAGAACACTTTGCAGAATTAGATGAATTAGAGTGTGCTTTTTTGGGGGGAGGGTGTGGAATTGCACAAGTGCAATTACCACCGAGAATGTTTCGAACAGTTGGTGCAAGAACCCACCAAGATATCTCGACTGGTTAGGGACTCCTGGGAAACACAAATATGATCAGAATCATGGAAAGCAGACCCACGTAATTGCAATATTTAGCAAATCATTTTCAAAAGGATTGACCCAGGCCTCCATGCAGAAAGTTTCGTTGATTCTTGGCTGAGGCCTCCCATGCACAATGTCTTTGGGAAGGGGATTTCGCCTCCGACAGTTGGCAAGGGTAGAGGTGGCAAGTATCGCACATCGCGTTGCGCGCAGCTTGCAAGGAGATGCCTCTTTCCTGCTGCCGGGTGTGGGAGAGCTGGGCGACGTAGCGTTTGCTCCCTTCGAAGCCATCGCCTTGCGAACCCTCTTTGGCGGAACTGTGATTTCTGTGCTGGGCTTCGCAGAAGAGGCCCTGCCCTTCACAGATGCGCTGCCGACGGCCACCACCGGGTGGGTGCTGCAGACCCTCTTCAGTGAGTCGCCCCTCGCCCAGCTGCTTGGCATCCAGCCGCTTGAGACGTCCGGCCCGCCGGGCCCTCCAGGCCCTCCAGGCCCTCCGGGCCCTGCGAGCCCTGCGAGCCCTGCGAGCCCTGCGAGCCCTGCGAGCCCTGCGAGCCCTGCGAGCCCTGCAAGCCCTGCGAGCCCTGCGAGCCCCCGAGCGCCAGCCGTGCCGGCCAAAGACAAGTGAGCCGGGCAAACTGCGGCGAAGCGTCATTATGCCGATTCCATGGACTGCGCATGGCCATGGCAACCATGCCCCACATAGGAAGGACTTAGGTGAGTAAACGCATAGGCTTTGCAATCGGGATTCCGCTGCTGGGCTCGCAGCTGCCGTCGACACCAACCGAACCGGCACATGCCCCACCCTCAGCCTCAGGCATTGCACCATGTCGGAAAATTTTGGTTTGAAGGGCACGCGTGACATTTAGTTTAATTTGCCTGCAGGCCTTGACGCATCGCCTGTAATCACCACAGGCACGTGCGGAACCCGTTTGGGTGGTTGAGCACAGCTTGCACATGAGGCTAGCGATTTCGTAGATCCTATGCTGCGGTGGGTGCTGGTGTGCACCTCAGGCTTTCCTTCACAAATTCCAAAATCAACGTGCATGCTGAGGCCTACACCTCATGCAGCATCGCATGGGCTGCGCACGCAGACTTCCTGTGTGCTGCCTCAGCATGGGAGGACCTCAAAAGGAACATAGAAAACCTAGCGAGGCGCGTGTTACATGGTAGTTTCAGGACTGCAGTGCCGGGCACGGGGCCCAATGGGCGATTGGATGCGACATGATGCGATTGGGGCCTTCGGCCATGAGCGGAAGGGCATAGATGGTCGTAGGCTGTTTGCTGTTGCACCTTTGCTCAGGGTGCAGCTTGTGCAGTCCATGAGTGAGAAGCGGCGACAGGCGGAAGTTTTGGCAACGCAACTTTCAAAGACAAACCTGGTAGGCCGCACCGAGCAAGGGCCTCCCCTATGCGTCCCTGGTGGAATCTGCGTGACTTGGTGCAAGAATGGATCTGCGTCAGGAGTTCAGATAATGTCACGCCCTGTTGAGGGCAGATGAGTCCATCTCAGAGAAAGAAGACGCGACGCTTTCCCAGATGAAGCAGGCACTGTTTGGCTTCTAGTTGAGCATTCGAGCCACGCTAGTCACGCTTCATATGTTGCTTGAAGATGTATTTATTTCTATTCTCCTGTGGCACGCCTGGCCAGCAATGCTGGCGACAAGCCATGAGGCATTCCTTCACTGGCAGCAGCTCACTGGGAGCAAGTTTGGTCAGGCTGTCAGCCGGTTTTGAAGCTTGGCTTAGCGAGTTCCAGTAGGTCGTTGGGCTGGCCCAGTCCCGAGTGCAGACCAAGGCTCAGGGCTCGGGACGCTTGGCCTTTTTCACACAAACAGCCAGGTGGGCGAAGCTCCATACTTCATCATCGTGTGAAGCTTACGTCGTGAAATCGGGGGCTGAAGGCTTTGAAGGGATGCACTGGATGAATTTGTTAGGCAATCGCCATTGGTGGCTTCGTCCTTTCTTTGGTCTCCATTTGCGTGTCCCTGATCTTTGTGTCCAAGCGTGTCCAGGCAGCTCGAGCTGTAAGGACTTGATTTCAGACTCTGGCCATTGCAAGGACCGGGGGGACGGCGTGCCCAATGCCTCTGTGCCTCGGCGGGACTTTGCCACATCGAAACCTTGATATGGCGGGAAGGAAAGGCCAAGAGATGCCAAGAGATGCCAAGCTTTGAAGATTGAGGCGCTGCTGGCGCAGCAATTGCGTGCCCCGGCCTCGACTCATGTCCACGGAACATACGAAGCAGCAATGAAGCACATTCGAAACTCATTCGCAGCTTGACAGCTTGAGGCCATTGGAGTTGGACAGCCGAAGAAGTCGTGGCCCGTCTGGCCGCTGCCCCAGCCTCGTTTCGGTGCTTGGGAGATTGATGGACGCCGAATGACGCCGAGGCAACAGCACCAGCTTCAGGCTCAAGCTCAAAACCTTGCCGGACCCTCCCATCTCACTCTGGAGATCTCTGGAGCACTAGCCCGAGCCGACTCAGGAGATGGAGCGGGCCAAGCTAGGCCTGTGTTGCATCTTCGGGTGCACGACACATGGCACGATGGCACGACACAACACAGTGACACAGTGCCATGCCTTTTCATGCCTTTGGCGTGGCTTCTGGCGTGGCTTCTGGCTAGGTGCCGCTCCGTGCAGGACTTAGTCTTGCGAAATGGGCCGCATCATCTCGGGCATGCGACATCATGCGACATGTCAATGTTGCCTAGGCCACGGAACAGGGTGCAAATCGTAGTGCATGAGCCACTCGAAGGCGGCAAGCTGGGTGAAGAACTCAGTTTCACCGCTCCAGCTAGAAAGTGAAGGCGTGGCTGACAGGTCTGAATTTGTCCGAAGACGACTTGGTGATCAACAACTTTGGCGATCTGAGAGTGCGCTGCGCCTTTTTGGGGCTTGCTTGTCTCTCGGGTTGCGTGGATGCCTTGAGATGCCTTCAGGCGTGCGACTTCGGCTTTCAGATTGGCGACCGCATTGTGCAGGCGGGTCACCAGCCCTGCGAGTGCGAAATGCCGCACAGGATGACAGAATGTCGAGATATTTTAGCTTTTTAGCTCAGGTGAACCAAATACCAGTCTTCAAAGAGGCTGACTTCAGGTTCATTATGCAGGCCACCAAGAGAGGCCGTGGGAAGGAGAGCGCATGCATTTGCAAGGATGCGTTGAGACAGCACGATCAGCTGGGCGAGTCGGGAGCATGGAATGCTTCGAGTGCAACCTTTGGGACAGCCATTGATGGTCGCAAAGCTTACTCAGGCCCATCGTTTTTGAAGTCGCACGCCCCGAACTCAGTGCATCTCAGTGCCATTCATCTACCATCAACCAAATGCAATTGTTGCAGCATGGCTCTCTGAGGCGGACCAGAGAGCGCTGCGTACAGTGCTCAATGCCATTACTGCGCTCGAGAAAGCCGCACAAGAAAGACACTACATTCTGCACATGCCTTGCTCACTCATTGACTTGTTGTCGGTGGCAGGGATGTGGCCCGCCCTAGGTCTGCGCCACAGGTGTCTCCCTACGTCGGGGCTGCCTCCTCGTTTCCCACCGCGGCCACCACGCACCATTCTTATGCCGCCCCACCGTCTTGCACGCATTGTAAGCAGACCGCATGGCGTGCTCGCACTCACAAGGCCTGAGATGAGAACAATGCTTCCAGCCGAGCCTGACCAGGACGAAGCCACAACCCAGTACAGCACCGGCAAAAAGTGCAGCTGGGTAGGACATCACTGGTGCGTGGGCATATGGTGGCGGAGAGGCGGGTGCCCCAGAGCAGAGGAGCAAACCGAATGGTGCTATGTAGCATGAGGCGAACCGCCACATGTACACGATTCGACGAGCATGGGGCTAAGCAGAGAAAGGGCCACCGTGGCCAAATGTGGCCAAGCACACATCAGCTGCTTGAGGCTGGCAACTCTTTATGCCCTTGGCTTGGGTATGCCTGCAAGTGATGCAGTTGGAAGCGATGAGGCTTCGAACAAGAGCTGCCTGATGGAGAGAAGGCCATCGGTTTGAAAGTTCGAAGGCTCGGGGCGAAGGCTCGTCGCTAAGGTCTCTGGTGTGCCGCAGCCTCGGGGCATCTCGGGGCATCTCGGGGCCAAGGGCGGCTTGGGGCGCGCCTTGAGAGCGAATCCGAAGAACATCCGAAGAACATCGGAATATCTCGGAATCTCCGAAGGGTCCGAAGGGTCCTTCTGTGAAGGATGTGAAATGCACGCCGATGCGAACCCGAGGCTCACGCCGGAAGAGGCCAGCCCTTGGCTGAGGCCGGCCAAGTTGGCACGGGGGCAAGGCCAGTGAGTCACTAGCCAGGACAGAGCTGCAGGGTACCGGAGGCCTTCACGGGGAGCTGCGAGTGCACTACGACCCCGAGGACCAGGCCAGCTCGCTTCGAATCAATGCACACCTTGAGACCATATTCCAAGATATATGCCGGTTCCACATATGAGCATATCAATGTATATCTATATATTTTTGGTTTGCACGCGTCCGATTTGTGAGCCTTTGCCCCTGCTCGAGTCCGCCCAGGTCCTGGTCTCGCAAGTCAGACCCATGGGTCACAAGAAGTGGGGCAACGAACGACTTGCCACACGGGCGCCCCACCCAGCTGAGCGTTTGCAAGGCTGCAAGGCGACACTTTTATAGGATTTGTATTTGCTAACCGGAAGACCACCCGCTGCGTGCCCAATGATGTAACATCAGCGTGAATTTGGCTCACGTGCCTTTGGCAGGCGCAAGGGAAGGCGTGAAAAGCTACATGACTCGCCCGATCACTGGTGCAATCTGAAAAGGAGAGGGTGACCGGCATCGACTGGCACTGGCCCCTGCTTATCAGCGTATCCATGCTTGACTGTGCGGGCAAATGCGGGCAAACCAGCATGAATCAATGAAGCTGCGAGTGCTTGAGCCCTTGCTCCGCAGCATTTTTGCAGGCCGTGCCCAGCAAGGCACAGAAACATACAGAAACTAGAGGGCAGGGAAGGAGCTTCCCGTCGCCTGTTTTTCCACTTTCGGGATCTTTTGGGCTTCTCCGTCTTCCCACGCCATCGGGCTGGCTCGCCGTTCCGGCCAAAGCCGGCCTGGATGACGCTGCCATGTGGTCCTCGTCTAAAAAGGGCACAGACAGGAAGCGTGGGCCCCTCACGTGAGGTGCCAAGACCGAGTCCAACACAATGGTCGAGCCGCAACCTTACGAATTTGAGCTGGTATGTTCTGGTAGCGGCCGGTGGCGAGTGCGGCGTTTGCCTAGTGCCCGTGTCAAGTGTGGAGTCAGGCCCGTCCCTGTTGCTCGGCACTTATTTGCCATTCGGTTGGGACGCAGTCCGAGAGTGCAAGGAATTCGATTTCACTGGGGTGCCACCACCTAGAGTCTTCGAGCCTCCGCTTTGGCCTCAGCGTCCGATACGATTGCAATAGCATTGCAATGTGCGTCCGATTGCGGAGCAGTCCCAAGGCCCGGATCAAAGGTGGTGCCACGGAGGATTTTGTCGTCCTCAGCCCAATGGGCACTCAACTCCGCAATGCGTAAGTTATACGTATGTACGTATTACCGTATCATACGTACATGCATGGAGAATCGACATGTTAGTATACAAGTATTCTCAGAGTTGCGACGCCGGTGACTTGAGGCCCATCCACCACTATTTGTCTCGCTCGCGAAAGCCATTCTGGAGACCTTGCCTGAGAGTTTGCCGATTGCATTGCAGAGTCTCCCGACTCCGAGGCGAAGACCTTATCTTTACGCAGCCGTCATGTCCTAAAGTTCCTACAGAGACTAGCTGGGCTGTGGGCTGCCCAGGCCGCGGATCTACGTGGACCAGCCGGAGCCTTTGCGGATCCCTGCAATGTGCAAGCCAAGCACCACGATCCTTGGAGGAAGTCTGTCTTTCGGGAGATTGCTTCGGTGACGCAGCTGCGGCGTGTGAAGCTCGGACATCATGAGAGTTGCGCCTGGCTGCAAAAAGGGGATACAAAGGTTGACTCGGTGCCGTGAGGTGGCGATCATTGCATGATAACGCTCAATGTACTTCGATGCTTGAGCCCTTGGATAGACTACCTGGCCATGGCCTCATGGTGCATCATGGTGGCGTGAAGCTCTTTTTTTGCCTGTGATGGCCGAGGTAAGCTTGATGGGATCCTTGGAACTATCTCATTTGTACCATCATTTTGTGATCCTCGAGGATGCAGCATCCCCAAGTTTCAGGGTTGCACCCACTGGATTGTTGCATGCCATATAGGTGGACCACGTGGACCAGTTCGGCGTCCCTCGCACGAAACAGGCTTTGGAGCGATGTTGCGCTCGGCCTGGATTGACCTGCCATGTCAGGGTGCGATCGTCCATATCATGGAGTACTCAAACACAGTGGAAGGCTTTATAGAAGAAGTGCGCCTGGCATCTCAGCATGGGTCAACAGAGTTCTTGATGTTCCATCAGTCGCAAGTGCCCCCAACCGATGCCTATTCACAACTGATCAGGGCGGGGCACTTGGCAGTTGGTTCCACCGCTTACGGGAACTTTGCAGAGCCCACGTTTGCATCCGGGTCATTTGAGTGTGTATTGGTTGCATTGGTGTTGTGTGCCCCTTAGCTTTGTATTCCAGGTCTTGCGCCACCGTTTTCAGAAGGTCTTTTGAACCTTTGACTTTCGGTCCGAGCTATTGGCGTATTTTGCGCATGTGCTGGGGTTGCGACGAGCAAGCATTGATTGCGGCTTCCTGCCGTTTGGGTTGACGTCTCTTTCACGACGGTCTTCGCCCTTTCTTCCGTGATTACCTCAACGCTCCAGAATCTCAATCAGATGGAAAAGGGAAGGGCGAAAGGGTATGAGTGCAGCTGCCCGGATTGCCAAACAAGCCCGAGGTGTCAAAAGTTTCGGCGAATGGCTGGCCCTGCCGAAGGTGTTCTTAGACTGCATTCTTCAGAAGGCCAGAGCAGATCATAAACATTCACCCTTGTGTCACATATTCAGGCGCGATGTGGCAGGGTCCCCTTAGCTGACTACGGGGACATGCCTCACATTTTCCGAATGGAGGCGCGACCCGGCAGCTAGCAGCGCTCCAAATGTCGCAATGTTCGGAATGCTTTTGGCAGGAGAGGCTTACAGAGCAACAGCGTGAACGCATCGTCCATGATGCTGAGCAGTTTATTGTAGCTTGATTTTAATCTGTGTTGTTTTTTGCAGTGCATGGCTTCAGGTGCCATGCTTGGACTTGTGCACCGCTCGACCAGGGTTTAGACATTTTGCCATGGGCGATCCAAGGCAAACCCGCAAGCGTACAACATCCTGTGGTCTAATTGCGAACACACGACGAACCTGGTCCATGCCTCAAGACCTGGCAAAGCAGGTTGCCATCCTTTGAGCTCCCAAGGTCTCCGGGAAACAGCAGTTCACATCGCCAGAAGTGCACTTCTTCCTTTGGAGACTATGTGCATCAGAGAAATGCGCTCTCACTCTGTCGCATCAGAGAAACCTCCAAGAAAGCTGGCAGCCTCAATCTCTGGAGGAGCATTTGTCGCTACTTTTTGACCTTCTTTGGGCTGGCAACCCTTCATGCCGGGCTGCCCAGCATTCATGAAGCCTGCACATCACACTTGCAGCTTGCAGGCCGTTACCATGCAGTGCTACAGCAGATACTGCTTGCAGTACCCCTTTTGGGTGCCACCGTGTTTCACCTTGTGTGAGACCTATGTCACACGTGGCGCAGGCGTTGGCTGCGTACTACACCTGTACAGCCACCCACTCAGAAAACGTGTTCTGACAGACTCTGACTATGTCCGGCAGTACAGCACTCCCGAGGCCTTGCCAGTCCTGGCTCAGATTGTAGTGCAATTTGGGCGACTAGCGCTGGGAACCCAGAACTCTAAGAGGCAAGTCGCCGCGGGTGTCCATGGCATCGCGGCTTGCCAGGCACACAGTGGCAGCATCGTGGAGAAAGAGCTTAATCTCGAGAAATGATGTGTACCACTTGCTCTTGAAGGAGGGGCTGTGGACTTGTCCTGGACTGTGGATCTTGGTGGGTTGCAGGAGTTGTCCCGCGCAATTTTCAACGGAGCCCTGGCCTTCGGCTTCCTCCTGCAGGGGCCTCCGTTCTCGACGGTCTGACGGTGCCGTGCGGTGCGGCCCTTGCTCTCAGCGCGCAGGTGGGCGCCGGACATTTTACACTTCGCCGACGGAAGGCCGGGAGATTCCAGCCGACAGTTCAAAGAGAGAGAGAGAGAGAGTGTTTGAGAAGTTTGAGAAGTTTGAGGTATCCCATCAGAATTTCTGTTGCCATCGTGTTTGCCTACCTCGTCCGAACCCAAGTCAACGCTGGACAAGCTGCTTGCCAGAGAAATCCAGCTGAGGCAAGCGACGCTATCTTTGCACTGCTCGCACAGGCGCTGAGCTCCACACGGCCAGGACTTGCGACTTGCCGCTTTGTGACTGTCAGGTAGTCACGCGGATCCTGCTCCAAACGCAGGGTCACTATTGGCTTATTGGCGGCAGCGACCATACGCCATCCCTGCATGTAGTGGACGCAGCCTGCAACCCAAGTTTTGTTTGGTGCAGGTGGGAAGAGGAGGAAAGAATTCGGGCTGAGGCCAGGTGCTGTGTGCCCACTGGCTCGTTTTTGCAAGGATTCACATGACGTCAGGCCAAGACTCCAAAGTCCAAAGCTGAATAGCACTGGCTGGATCATTTGGATCGCAGTGCGCAATGTGGCAACGCACGCATAGACATGGGCCATAAGCATGTCAGAACACGCACCGAGAAATTGCCATTATATGCGAAATAGCTGCTTTCTTTACACAGCGTTGTGTGTGTGTGTGCGCATGTCGAAGCCCGGAAGATCGACAATGTCGATAGTTTTCCGGCATTGCGCAGCACGGATGAAGCTATAGAGAGCGCAGCGAGTGCCGAAGCATAGCTTGTGACGCAAGCAGCTGAGCCCGGCACTGTACACAGCATGGCCGGTCCAGCCACTTGCTTTGGCCTGCGCCAAGCCTTTCCTGCAGCAATTCCTTCGCTCAAGGGATCTCCCGAAGGGATACCCAGGCTCGAGGCATTTGCTGCACGCGTGCTGCACGCCATCGCATGCCTGACGCATGCCGCAATGCCTCCCACACAGTCGCTTTCCAGGCCAGCGATGGTAGGAGAGATGTGAAGGTCGTGGCAAGCTCGGAAGGCCAGAAGTATCCTGACAGGCCATGTCCCAATGGCAGCCCTGTGTTCTGCAGTGCCCGAGGTCTCGGCATGTCGTCGGATTCTGAGTCAGAGGATTTGAAGCGGCATTCCTCGAGCTCACGGACCACCACCCCAGTGGCACGAGCGCGAGTGGTCGCTTCCGACACGGACACGGACAGCGATGACAGGACCCAACGGTGCTCAACTTGGTGCCTCAACTTGGTGCCTTATCCCTCGGAGTCCCTCAGAGTCCATCTCAGAGTCCCTCGGAGTCCCTCAGTCCCGTTCAGTCCCGTTCAGTCCCTCAGCGTAAGCCGCATCCGCAGAGGAGCAGAAGCTGGCGCTTCATGCGCCCAAGGAACTCAAGCCCAAAGAGCCCAAAGAGACCGGCGCTTGGAATCGGAGAGTCAGATGCATCGGAGGTTTTCTGGATTTAGAAAGCTTACTATAGTTACTATATAGCTGCTGATTTGCAAAATATATATTAGCTTGTATTTTGTTTCAGGGACAAAACAACCAAATGGCCGACTGCAACTCCAGACTATGAAAGCGTCCAGCACATTTCATACACCAGAATTAACAGTAACAATGCTAGTCAAACTGGCTCAAGGCTACAGCTTGCTGTCGGTGCTATGTTGCGATGGGGATGATGCTGGGGATGGTACAATTTGGGAATTGACTTGAACACACTAAATGCGGCATTGCTCCTGCAACCTTCAGGTTTGCACTCTCTGTTTGGGCCAATGCAATGGGAACCTATGGAACCCAGGAATAGACATTTTTGGCGGGGGCCAGACAGAGATGATGTACAAGTGACGTAGTGGGTGCATGAATTTATTGATACTGTTGGCTCTGTTAGGGCTCATTCACCCAGGCCCTCAACGGCCACCTCGCTGGACACGCCAGGCATCGGTGCATATCGGCGCATATCGGCGCATATGGGTGCATATGGGTACATTTTGTTGCATATTGGTGCACATGTGGCCAAGACTGGCAACTTTGGTGCCGATAATTTGACCGCTCCCAGGCTGCATCGGGTGAGGCAAGCATGCAGGGCACCCGGTGGGCGCGGCTCAGCTTCTGGCGTTCTATTTCTTGATATCTTCTGAGGGCAGATGCTGTCCAGGAGCAGAAGGCGCAGTGGGCCAAGTGAGCAGCAAGTGCAGGGCTTCTGCAAGGTCTTTGATCGGCTTTATGGTGATTTCTGGCAGAAGCTGCAGGCCGTGCCTGTGGGTTGCACACTGCGTTGCGCTGCCATTTTGCTGCAAGGCCAGCAAAAAGGTACCCAAAACACCAAAGATACCTCTCGGCGAAGTAGAGGCAATGTGCACACGGGAAATGAGCTGGCTGAGTGGCTGAGTGGCCTTTCCAGAGGTTTTTGGGCGATTGTACGGAGATGCCTTGGTGAAGGAGAAGGCACGCCGCCTTTGTCTTTGTTCCCCCCTGCCAATGATGGTCGTCGAATGGGTTTGTTTTTGGTGGATGGGGAACTGCAAATTCCGCATATCAATTTGCTACATAACAGATTCACAAGTATATGATTTGCAGAATGCCATATGTATTTATTAGCCTATCCTTTATCCACATGCTGATTCTAGAGAAGATAACTGGAGGAAGGCCAGGAGAATACGGTGAAGATGATGAAGACCGGGCTTATGAAAGCACACATATTGAATAATTGTGTTGCTCCTAAAGTTACAACACCTAGAGATTGAAAGGGTAAGGATAATCTGACATAGATATGAAATAACGGCGTTTTAAGATCAAACACCTGAGATAGTAAGACAAAGACCAGCACTAGATGATCAATAGCTAGAGCAAGATAAAATATGTTTAGGCTTCTCGTTCATTCACTTCTCAGCCGCCGACCATCCATCCCAACAACTGAGGTCTGGTGCACAGTTCAGCCTGAAATGCTGATCTGCCCTTATGTGCTGTTGCTTTTTATTGCCACTGTTTGCACTTGTTTCGTGCTTTGTTGTGTTTGTCAAAGCTTCAGCAGTACGCTTTGTGTCTTGCCATGCTTTTGCTCACTTTGCTCAGTGTTGATTTGCTTTTGTTTGCATTGCTTGTTTTTCCGAGGTTGGCTGTCATGGTGTGGCTTTCTGCCTTCGTGTGCTATTGTTGCCTTTTTTTTGTGCTGGGTGTTTGGTTTTCTCATGCTTTAATTGTTTGTTGGCGCTCCCAGGGTGTTGCACTGCCGTTGGCATTGCCACATGCCTGCAAGCTACAGGCCCGGTAAAGACCAAACAAGTGCAGAAGCACCAAGAAAGCACGCAGGAAACTGTGCTGTTTCAATACTTGCCGCCAGCAGCGACCACAAAAGACACTACAAGCAGAAAGCCAATACTCGCTTAAAATGCCTAAGCTTAAAATACCTCAAGTCGTTTTTTTTGGGCAACCCCTTCCTTGTCACGTCCGGTCAAGTCGTTCTTTGGGACCCCCTTCTTTGTCAAGTCGCTCTTTGGGACCCCCTTCTTTGTCACGTCCGGTCAAGTCGTTCTTTGGGACCCCCTTCTTTGTCAAGTCGTTCTTTGGGACCCCCTTCTTTGTCAAGTCGCTCTTTGGGACCCCCTTCTTTGTCACGTCCGGTCAAGTCGTTCTTTCAGGACCCCCTTCTTTGTCAAGTCGTTCATTGGGACCCCCTTCTTTGTTAAGCTGTTCTTTGGGGGCCCCCTTCTTTGTCAAGTCGTTCTTTGCGACCCTCTTATTTGTTCAAGTCGTTCTTTGCGACCCCCTTCTTTGTCAAGTCGTTCTTTGGGACCCCCTTCTTTGTCAAGTCGTTCTTTGCGACCCCCTTCTTTGTCAGGTCGTTCTTTGCGACCCCCTTCTTTGTCAAGTCGTTTTTTGCGACCGCCTTCTTTGTCAAGTCGTTCTTTGGGACCCCCTTCTTTGTCAAGTCGTTGTTTGCGACCCCTTCTTTGTCAAGTCGTTTTTTGGGACCCCCTTCTTTGTCAAGTCGTTTTTTGCGACCGCCTTCTTTGTCAAGTCGTTCTTTGGGCCCCCCTTCTTTGTCAAGTCGTTCTTTGCGGCCTTTTTCTTTGTCAAGTTATTCTTTGGGACCCCCCTTCTTTGTCAAGTCGTTTTTTGCGACCCCCTTCTTTGTAAAGTCTGATTTTTCCGACTGCCTTCTTTGTCAAGTCGTTCTTTGGGACCCCCTTCTTCGTCACCTCCTGCTTTGTCAAGTCGTTCTTTGGGACCCCCTTCTTTGTGAAGTCGTTCTTTGGGACCCCCTCCTTTGTCAAGTCGTTCTTTGGGACCCCCTTCTTTGTCAATGTCAAGTCGTTCTTTGGGACCCCCTTCTTTGTCAAGGCGTTCTTTGCGACCCACTTCTTTGTCAAGTCTGCTTTGCGGCCGACTTCTTTGTCAAGTTTTGTCAAGTCGTTCTTTTGAACCCCCTTCTTTCTCAAGTCGTTTTTTGCGACCGCCTTGTTTGTCAAGTCGATCTTTGGGACCCCCTTCTTTGTCAAGTCGGATTTTTGGGACCCCCTTCTTTGTCAAGTCGTTCTTTCGGACCCCCTTCTTTGTCAAGTCGTTTTTGGGACCCCCTTCCTTGTCACGTCTGGTCAAGTCGTTCTTTGCGACCCCCTTCTTGTCACGGCGTTCTTTGCAACCCTCTTCTTTGTCAAGTCGTTGTTTGCGACCCCCTTCTTTGTCAAGTTGTTTCTTGCGACCCCCTTCTTTGTCAAGTCGTTTGTTGCGACCCCTCTTTTTTGTCAGGTCGTTCTTTGGGTCCCCCTTCTTTATCAAGTGGTTCTTGGGGACCGATCGCCTTCTTTGTCAAGTCGTTCTTTGGGACCCCCTTCTTTGTCAAGTCGTTCTTTGCGACCGCCTTCTTTGTGAGGTCATTCTTTTCGGACCCTCTTCTTTGTCAAGTCGTTTTTGCGACCCCTTCTTTGTCAAGTCGTTCTTTGGGACCCCCTTCTTTGTCAAGTAGTTCTCTGCGACCCTCTTCAGTGTCAAGTCGTTCTTTGCAACCCCCTTCTTTGTCAAGTCTTTTTTCGGGACCCCCTTCTTGTCACGGCGTTCTTTGGAAACCCCTTCTTCGTCATGTCGTCCTTCTTTTTATCAACTCGTTCTTTGCGGCCTCCTTCTTTGTCAAGTCGTTCTTTGGGACCCCCTTCTTGGTCAAATCGTTTTTTGGGACCCCCGTCTTTGTCAAATTGTTTTTTTTTGGCAACCGCCTTCTTTGTCAAGTCGTTCTTTGGGACCCCCTTCTTTGTCAAGTCGTTTTTTGCGACCGCCTTCTTTGTCGAGTCGTTCTTTGGACCCCCCTTCTTGCTCAAGTCGTTCTTTGGGACGCCCTTTTTTGTCAAGTCGTTCTTTGGGACCCCCTTCTTTGTCAAGTCGTTCTTTGGGCCCTTCTTCTTTGTCAAGTCGTTCTTTGCGACCCCTTGTTTGTCAGGTCATTCTTTGGGACCCCCTTCTTTGTCAAGTCGTTCTCTTTTTTGTCAAGTCGTTCTTTGCGACCCTCGTCTTTGTCAAGTCGTTCTTTGGGACCCTCTTCTTTGTCAAGTCGTTCTTTGCGACCCTCTTCTTTGTCAAGTCGTTCTTGCGACCCCCTTATTTGTCAAGTCGTTCTTTGGCACCCCCTTGTTTGTCAAATCATTTTTTGGGACCCCCTTCTTTGTCAAGTCGTTCTTCGGGACACCCCTTCTTTGTCAAGTCGTTTTTTGCGCCCATTTCTTTGTCAAGTTTTTCTTTGCAACCCCCTTCTTTGTCAAGTCGTTCTTTGCGACCCCCTTCGTTGTCAAGTCGTTCTTTTGGACCCCTTCTTTGTCAAGTCGTTCTTTGGGACCCCTTTTTTGTCAAGTCGTTCTTTGGGACCCCAACCTTTGTCGAGTCGTTCTTTGGACCCCTCTTCTTTGTCAAGTCGTTCTTGGGGACCCGCTTCTTTGTCAAGTCGTTCTTTGGGACCCCCTTCTTTGTCAAGTCGTTCTTCGGGACCCCCTTCTTTCTCAAGTCGATTTTTTAAACCCCCTTCTTTGTCATGTAGTCCTTCTTTGTCAAGTCGTTTTTGCGACCGCCGTCTTTGTCGAGTCGTTCTTTGGGCCCGTCTTCTTTGTCAAGTCTTTTTTTGGGACCCTCTTCTTTGTCAAGTCGTTCTCTGCGACCGCCTTTTTTTTCAATTCGTTCTTTGCGACCCCCTTCTGTGTGAAGTCGTTCTTTAGGACCCCCCTTCTTTGTCAAGTCGTTCTTGGGGACCCTCTTCTTTGTCAAGTCGTTCTTCGGGACCCCCTTCTTTGTCAGGTCGTTCTTTGGGACCCCCTGCTTTGTCAAGTCGTTCTTCGGGACCCCCGTCTTTGTCAAGTCGTTCTTTGGAAGCCCCTTCTTTGTCACGTTGTTTGCGACCCCTTCTTTGTCAAGTCGTTCTTTGCGACCCACTTCTTTGTCAAGTCGTTCTTTGGGACCCCCTTCTTTGTCAAGTCGTTCTTCGGGACCCCCTTCTTTGTCAGGTCGTTCTTTGGGACCCCCTTCTTTCCCCGTCTTTGTCACGTTGTTTGCGACCCCTTCTTTGTCAAGTCGTTCTTTGCGACCCACTTCTTTGTCAAGTCGTTCTTTGGGACCCCCTTCTTTGTCAAGTCGTTCTTTGGGACCCCCTTCTTTGTCAAGTCGTTCTCTGGCACCCCCGTTTTGTGAAGTCGTTCTTTGCGACCCACTTCTTTGTCGAGTCGCTTTTTGGGCCCCCCTTCTTAGTCAGGTCATTCTTTGGGACCCCCTTGTTTGTCAAGTCGTTCTTGGGAGCCCCTTCTTTGTCAAGTCGTTCTTTGGGACCCCTTCTTTGTCAAGTTGTTGTTTGCGACCCCCTTCTTTGTCAGGTCGTTCTTTGGGACCCACTTCTTTGTCAAGTCTGCTTTGCGGCTGACTTCTTTGTCAAGTTTTGTCAAGTCGTTCTTTTGAACCCCCTTCTTTCTCAAGTCGTTTTTTGCGACCGCCTTCTTTGTCAAGTCGATCTTTGGGACCCCCTTCTTTGTCAAGTCGGATTTTTGGGACCCCCTTCTTTGTCAAGTCGTTCTTTCGGACCCCCTTCTTTGTCAAGTCGTTTTTGGGACCCCCTTCCTTGTCACGTCTGGTCAAGTCGTTCTTTGCGACCCCCTTCTTGTCACGGCGTTCTTTGCAACCCTCTTCTTTGTCAAGTCGTTGTTTGCGACCCCCTTCTTTGTCAAATTGTTTCTTGCGACCCCCTTCTTTGTCAAATTGTTTCTTGCGACCCCCTTCTTTGTCAAGTCGTTTGTTGCGACCCCTCTTTTTTGTCAGGTCGTTCTTTGGGTCCCCCTTCTTTATCAAGTGGTTCTTGGGGACCGATCGCCTTCTTTGTCAAGTCGTTCTTTGGGACCCCCTTCTTTGTCAAGTCGTTCTTTGCGACCGCCTTCTTTGTGAGGTCATTCTTTTGGGACCCTCTTCTTTGTCAAGTC